TAGGAATGGGTTGTTCCTGCCCATGTATCTGAACCTTGAGCAGTAGTTGAGTTACAAGGGAAAACGATCCATATCCATTTATCCATAGATCTAGCAATGTAACAAGAGTGGATGTTAAGGGATGTAAGGGAAACTCCTTATATACCAAGGGTGTCTGGAAAACTCTCTCTTCTGGATGAGAGAGCAGTTCCATACATCTAAATGTTAATGACATTTTTTTTCTTGACACTAAACCAGGATTTGCTGCAGTATGCAAATTTCTGCAGAATGTGAATTGACAAGTTGCAGCCCTTTTTTTCTGGCCCATCAACCTTGCTTTCTAGGGAGTTGCCACTAGGTTTCTTCCAGTCCTTGAAATATTTTAACTGGCTACTCAATGTCTTGGAAGGGCAGAGAGCACAAACTAAAAAACAACAGGGACAGTCTTCAGTCTGTTCCACAGCCATAAGGACTAAGTGCATCTAAATGCATGGAATTTGGCCCCAAGGAGTCCGGCACTTGCTGGGATTGTGCGTAACCCCCACACTCCTGGGCATCACTTGTGAAAAGAGTCTAATTGCTGAACAGAAAGTTTTACAACCCATCATAAGTAAGGCAGATAGTGACAGAACGAGCTCCAGCAGCTCCATGGAAGGCCAAAAGAGAAGAGTAGTCCTCAAGAAGAAAAAAAAGACATTTTAAGTAGAAAGTGAGGGCAGGAGGAGGGAGACAGAAAAGAAGTGCTGAACAGAGTGAGCCACATGAACACAGCACAAAGCTGAGAGGATTACATTACAGCTACCTGAGGCACATCTGCTCTATTCAGCAGTGTCTGTGCAGCAAGATAAGGGGCCCAAGGACTGCCAGGAGCAAAGGAGCTTGACGAAAAGCCAGAGCAACATGAGGCACGAGCTGAGCTAAAGAGCCCCATGGGAGAAGTGAGCAATAACTTGACTTTAGTGCAGTCAGAAGGAGAAACAAAGATACACTGAAAAATAGGTATCAGGAGCATGGCCATGCCTAGCATCTGTCTTCATGCAACAGGCCCCTGTCTCGCTGACTTGCAGCTCCTCCAGGTGCCATTAGATGCCACTCTGCAGCACTCTTCAAGCAACCCAGCCACCTCCAACACCTTCTGGCAGCTCCAAATGCTGGTGTCAGGCCAGGGAAAAAGCGGCTGGGGGGAGCGGGCGGGGGCAGCAGCCACGAGTTGGAGGTTCAGCTGGCAGGAGGGGAGGTTCAGGGCTATCCTGTGGCTGAGCTAACATGAGGCTCACTCCTGAACCTGCCTTAGGGGAGCCAGGCCATCCCACTGGCAGTCTCCCATGGGTCACTGCTCCTCAGCCAGACCCCAGGCTGCTCTGTCACAGCTATCCCCCAGAGTTTTGCCTGCAGAGGAAACTCAACCAGATTTTTTCTACCATCTCCTGATGCAGGCCTGAGCTCCCCTCCCAGATAGCACCCACAAATGCAACACATGCTGCCACCCTGATTCAGCTCCATTGATTTCCTTCAAGAGGTCCATCTCCTTTCTGCTCTCTACCTCTGCAGATAGCAACCTGCCTTGCATCCAACCCAAACTCATTGTGTCAAAGGTATGGACCCACTGCTGCTTGGGGAAGGGCATTCTGATTAAAAATCTTGATGTGTGATCAGAGGTAAATTATCAGCAAGCAGTTAAATCATTTGCATTCAGGGTCATACACAGAGGCGCATCAAACTCAACAACTTGGAGCACAAACAAGGCAGACAACATCAGGAGTTGGAGGAGCAGAAGGCTGAACTGCCTGGAAAAAGGCAAGACTTAAGAGGAAGATTACAGTCAGCTTGACCTTCTGCCTGGTTTGCCACTCAAATGACAGCATCCCTTTCCTCCTCTTCCTGGGCACTTTCCTTATTTTCCACCCCAGCTTCTTGCTCAACTTTTCCTCTTCTCTTGTGGCCCAAGGGCAAAGGGACAGGAAGAACCTGGGTGACAGGACAGAAGTACAGAGTGAATGTGGAAGGGAAAGAAAAGTAGGAGAGATGGTGCACAAGCTGTATCAGGGTAGTACGAGGCATGGTAATGGGACCATCGCTCACTCTTATGTGTGCCGATTCCCCAAGTCCCAGGACACAAAGCAGCATTCATAGTTGCTCCTATTAGATAGGCTTTCCAGCTGCCAGTGCAGCCTGGCTAGCTGTTGCAGTGAAGATGGGGCCAGAATTCAGCTGTGGAAACAAACCAGCTGAAGTATTTGGGGGAGGAATATGCACGGGGGAGAATGGGATATGGCAGCAGAGAAAATTTAATTTTGCTTTGCAGTGTAAAGGGTGTGATTGACAAATGAGGTGTGACTGCTGAATTCTGAGAGCTCTCACAGCTGAAGTTGCATGTTGGTATGACTGATGTAAAAGCAGCAAGCAATCACAACTGCAGGCCAAGTTCCTGGACACGATGGGGATCCTAGGAAACTTCCCACTCCCCAGTTCTAGCCCACCTATGCCTCCTGTCCAGGGACCAAAAATATCCATGGTTTAGCCAATCAGAGGCTAGACTGAAGTCCTATTCCATAGCCAGCAGCTCCTTTTCTTGTAACACCACCAGCAGGATTCGTAAAGTAACATCTAACTAGATCCTACCAAATATGCTGAATCCCTTGGGAAAAAAAAAAAAAAAACAGCTGACAAACAGGTTATGGGCAGGAGAAGTTCCAAAAGTTTGTCTGCAAGTTTACAGTGCACACCTCCCCAGCCTGCCACAGACACCAACTCATCAGTTAGTATTGGAAAGTTTTCTTTCAAATTTTGCTGACACGTGCAGGCTAACTGCTTGGGTCTGCCCACATGCAGAGAGCTCCCTTAGTCATAGCAGACCTGAGTACCATTCATCTCCTGGGTCAGACAGCTGAAATATTCAGTGATATCTTGGCTGAAGTTTCACTGCCTTGGTCAGGTTTTGCTTTTTCCATGCTCTGTTGTTTTGGTTTTCCATGTTGATTAAGGGTTGTGAATGCCGAATTTCTCATTAAAGTTAAATCATGCTTCCTGGGTCTAGACTTTTACACAAGCTCCAAACTGTCCTTTTGGCAAGGTCAGACCAGGTTTTCCAAAAGGCTCAGTTTAAACAGGAAGCAGATGGCCAAACACCCTCCAGGCTTTGGAAATTAAATAAACTGGCTTCGGAGTCAGTTACCATTTTCAGATACAGTCTCCCATCCACTTAAGTCCATTGACCTAACAGGAGCAGAACACAAAGAAAATGAATCTCTGCTAATACACTTCGTGACAGTTTGTCTAATAAATCCGTGATTTAGTAACAGGATCCATTATTGCTGCAAATGGCAGATTGGGCTCTTTGACAGAGTAATTTCAGATGAGAACAGGTTGTGAAGCTGCAGATAAAAAGGGAGGGGGTAGTAGTAGTTCCAAGAGCAGATTGGTACAGCGGGTTATTAGTCTGTCAGCAGGACAGGAACAGTATTTTACCAGTGGTTCTCCATTCTTCAGTAAAAACTGGTGTGTGTTAGAATAGCCAGGTTTTCAGTACTACCCAACTTTGTGACCTAGTTCCCTTAACAGCTATAGGAAACACACAAACATAGCCGTGCACTCCTCTGTTGTCACAGCTGTAGTCCCATAATTGGGAGTTCAGTTTTCAGGGAAAGGAAAGAGGCAGTAGTGGTTTCAAAACTAGAATTTAACCACAAGAACCAGTACTCCCACCAGATCTCACAAGCTAAGCAGAGCTAGATCAGCGTATGGAAAAAGAGATGACTGAAGTAGAACTACGTGATTAAGGACATTGTCACACTACACCACAGCCTTTTCCATGACCACAGAGGACCAGGGAAGGCTTTGGAGAGTTTCCCTGTTCTTGGCATGGACAGTGCAGTCCTGGTTAGCCTGGTAGCTAGAGGGCCAGGACAAACAGGAGGCTGTTAGTATCTAATACATTCATTATAACTAGACCCTGACACAATCAAACACCAAACTCATTAGGCTTGTTACATAATTCCTACTATCTGCTCAGACTGCAAGACAGTCAGATCCTCTTCTAAGAAGTTTGTGCACAGCAATAGTAGTGGAAAGTGTCATGTCCAGAGAAAACAAAGAGCCTTTGACCTCAATTGTTCTACTCTTTCTTTTCTGCTTTACAGCAAGGGAATATTATGGTATCACTACATCTGCCTCAGCCGCCAGGTGTTAATAAAAAGCTGATATTAACCAAATAAATATTCATTTATAACAAACTCTGCAAGAGTCAACCAGTTACTTTCATTACCACTGGACAAATGGATTTGGGGTCCATAGGACTGAACAGGAGAGCTCGACAAAGCTAGAAGCTGTAGAGTAGCACAAACCAGACTCACTGCTAACATCCTCCGAGTTCTGTATGTGCATGCATGGAAGAGGTAGCTAGCTGCTCTCTGGAAGCTGCAGCCTACAGAGTAAAAGAAATAACCCCAACTAGTATAAATCAGCATATACCATTTTTATAAAGTTGTTCAGAAAAACATATTATATGCCCAAAACACTCTACAAGTAAGTTGGGAGTGTCTTTTACTGCCCACAGTGATGGGGCCAAAGAGCTGAAGGGTTTTTTTTCAGACAGTGGCTACTGAGCTGGAACGTATCAGCATGGAAAACCAGGAAATAGGCTAAGTATCACGAGATTTTCAGTCTCTTATGTAGGCAAGCACTGAAGCACCAAAATATTTGTGGTTGCTTGTGCCTAATAAAAAGCAGCATGTTTTAAGGAAAAGCTGCAGAGCCGCCTAGGAAAAAAAATTAAAATAATTAAAATCAAATGAGGTCATTTATGTGTGAATTACTTTAATAAATGACATGAGGCAGGAGAGTGCCCAGATCTGTTTTCATTGGACGAAAAAACCAATCTTTTGCTAGAGGAAAAAGAAAGTTACTTATTGAGAGAAATGCATTTTTGAAAAGTATAGTCATTTCTGGCTTGTACCTAAGCCTCAGTTTGCAGGAGGCAAATAAAAGGATAGTAAGGAAGATTCCTATTATTATATTTTACCTATGACCCACCAGTGGTCACCAACAGAATAAGATACTGGGCTAACGGGACCTCCGAGTAGATGATTTTATGTTCATGATCTTCTTCACAGACTGCCATGAGGATTTCGGAGTGGAGGCACCCAGGTTTCCAAATTTAGCTGTAAACTTTAGACTGAAATCAACTTAGAAACTATGAACTATACTGCCCCATTTCTTATTAGGATATTATTTCTGGATTCTACTGAGGAGATTTTAGATAAGCCTGAAAATTCTTCAAATGAGATTTGTTATTTTTGTAGATGGGGGCATGAAAGACACCTTTTCACTCACTTTTGATATTTGTTGTTAGTACTTGTATGCTGATGAACCAGTTATTTGCTGATCCCTAACAAACAAGCCCCTCCGCCCTGTCTTCTATGAAGAGTTATTTCCAAACTCTTTAAGCACCTTAGATTTAAATAGTCTTATTTGAACATCTTTCTCATCGCTTCCAGAAATAAAAGAATAAGATCAAATGTGAAGATGTGAATTTGCTAAAATAGCAGGTGAGAATACAGGTACTGCTGAAATGATGAGTCCATAAAGAAATAGGAAAATGCTTTTTTATATTTACCCTTGACATTTCTGTGCCATGTTTAATGTTCTAGCTGGAACTGGAAATGGGTTTTTCGTCCTGTTTAGTAAACCACTTTCAACAAGTCTTCATTACATGCCATATATAGCTTTTATTAATGGTCTCAAACGTTACAAGGTAATGGGGTTTAAGAAAAGCAGTCCTCCACATTCTACCGGACAGACATTGCACATGAGGCACTGAATTCTCAACGTGCATGATGTTCTTTACGCTGATATAAGTGTTTTCAGGCATTTCTCTTCTACAGTATCCAAAATAAGTATATTAAATAATTTGGCAAATATTTCAATGTCAGCTATTTATTTGGGGCAGGAACCGCGTCACTTTGTGTGATTGCAAACTTCAGGCAAACAAAGGAATATGTAATAATCAAATCTTTAAAAGATTAGAACCTTACACTTTAGAAATGAATCATTTATAAAACAAAGGCAAATGCGGAAGAGGGGGAAGGTCACGAATAGCTCCCTGATAGACCAAAATCTTTTCCCACAAACAAGGTGCTTGGACATTGTGCAAAGATATGTACAGAAAGATTTGTTTAATTTCTTACCCTCTAAATCTATTCCCCCCACCCCATTGTAGAGAGCATGGAAGGTTAGCTTGCCTTAAGAAAAACAAGCACCGCAAGTTGGCATTTATCAGTTCCATACACTGTGAGCGTCTGATTGTAACAGCACTTTTCATTAGCAATATAAAAATACTATTGCAACTGTTGTACACAGCTGAAGGGTGACAGTCAGCATGACAGATTCCAATATGTTTCCAAGAAAATCCCGGAGTGTGATTACCAGCAACTTCTTACCTGACAAGATAGCAAATTGCCTGTGGAGCTGCTCTATTATATCCACTGCAACCAGCGGCCGTATCTCCTGCTGCATGATTTCATCTGTGCAAGTGAAAACAGAAATCTTCAATGAGTTAATAAAACCTTAATGACAATTTTTCCGTCCTTTAAGAACCCAGCAAAACAAAGATGACACTCAAAGGAAAAGAGCCTGGCTTTACTATTGGTTCAGATGTTATATGACTGTCACGGAGAAGTTTATGATACTTACAGAGTCTCATTTACTGCCTTGTGATTTCAGAGAGAGCTTTTCATAAACCAGCTCCAGTAGATTTGCCAGACCTTGTCACAAGTTTGCTCAAGCTGACAGCCTGCTCCTTACTACTTCATGTTCCATATTAAATCGCTGCATTTGGCCTCCCACATAAAGCAGCTTTTCAGTCTTTGAAACAGTAAAGTCTATTTCAGATACAGGTCTCTGCTTGAGGACTTTGTGTAACCAACCAATCCAGAACAGTTTCCTTTGCTGATGCTTTTTCCGCTACAAGCAAATACATAGTAAAAAGAGGAAATAAGGGGATGTGAGGCTTTCTTTTCATGAAAACAAAGCCTGTTCTTTTGAAGTAAACACTGAAAACTTAAAAAATAACTTGGCAAGCAGCTGGGGAAAAATCACCACAATTTGTGTGTGTAATCTGTTCAGTCACCAGCAACTATAATTTCACATTGAGCTAATTTGATCTCTTCTGTAACAGGTGCACCCAATTGTTCTTCCCACTCTTCACCCCAGTCTAGACCAGCAACATTTACTGGGGAGTATCTGCCAGCTCAACTGGCAGGATCCAGGTTTACGTTACAATAGCACCTATTATAATTAGGCCTTTGGTCACTGTACAGCTACAGAACAACAACCAGTTTTGGCTTTGTACAGCCCACCTCTAACTGCCCAGACAACAGGTGGAAGGAAGGAACCTGGGTCCAGACAGACCACAGATCAGACTAAAGGCAGGTAGTTGCCCTATTTAAGCGCCAAGATCTTCACTGATGTCAATACAATGCAGGCACTGAAATACTTTGGTGCACCCGGTTTTAAACAAACTGTCCAGAAATAGAGAGGGAGGTCAGAGAGGTTAGAAATTAGCTTCTTTCTCCTACATCCTAGTCTACTGCTCAAAATACCATCTCTGTCTTCCTTTCAGACATTCCCTCTGATCCTTTCCAGAACTAGGGATTCTAGGTTTTAAATTACACAGTGTCACTTGGAAACTTTTCTGTTCATTCCCTAATTCTTCAGGCTCATTTGACTTTCAAACACTTCACTAATGCCTTGAGACAAAGTAACTGAAGAGCACGTGTCATTGCCCTCTCCTAGACAGACCGTGACACACAATATGGAAAGAAGTTGCATAGATTTTGGCTGATGCACAAAACAGGGCAGTAATTCCAAGCAATTGAAAAAAAATCTCAAGGGGTCTGATTCCACAAATCCTCCCTTAGATCTAAAAAGGGAAAAAGTCAAACTAGAATGAGTGATGTTTTTGATGTGGGACCTTCATTTCCATCCTGTTTATGCAGCCCACTATCAGCTTCTCTGATTCTTGACATTGCAGGTGGCTAAGAGCAACTGGAAGAGCAGACTAATGAACCACAGCTAAAGAGCTTGGTTTCAGTGATGTTTGTAGAACTTACTGTAATTTCAATCTACTGCTATGGTCATGCACTTACACTGTTGCACAGAATTAGCAGACCTAAGGCTTAGCTTTAGACATAGACTAGTTTATTTTTACTCTGAGCAGAGATATACTGCTCCAAGTAACCAAGCTGGGTGTCTGCAGAGCACTGAGCCACGCAGTTACAGCCCAAGAGCCCTGTATGTCAGTGTGTAAGCTATGCTCACTTATTTGAATGTGTGATTCCTAGTCACCAAATGTATTTTATACTGCCCTTCTCATCACCTGAATGGAGCCCAAGAGTCGTCCAAGATCTGAGTCTTGACTGTGTCAGGTACAGCGTGTATACATAAGAGATCAGTAAGACTCAAGATCTCCCGAACTGGTGGGGGCTGCAGGTAGGGAAGAGAGCAATTTGTTTCACAAAGCATAGGGGGACAACTTAGATTTGTGGCTTATTCTCTCTGTCAAAACCTGAATATGCAGTAGAGATCACAACACATCAGAAGGTAGATACAGCCTTTGTAGGAAAACCACCATGTCCTCTCCCCACCCCAAGGCACCAGAACTGCAACAATGAAAACTACATCCCAACAGAGCTTCACAACAGCATCTGACACACAGACTCATGACTTAACCTCCAGAGATGACCCTGTCAAAACCAAGAGAGTTTGCCTTTGCTTGGGATGGCAAGAAACCTGACAAAGCCCTGTTGCTCTTGGCTGATTGACACAGCTTGTCCAAGTAAGATAAGGGATCCTGGTCATTCTGCCAGGTACAAATACATTGTGACACCAGCTCAGTGTTTGCTTTTCTCTCCAGACTTCACAGAGCAGGAATTAAGAGTGGGATCTGCCTCATCTCTGCCTTGACATCAGGGCAACTTAACCTTGTGCTCTGATGCATTACACTACTTCTTAGCAGCCACAGTGCAGTTGTTGTCTGGACCACCTCACCACACCCTCTTTCCTCCAGCCTTGATCGCTACAGCAGAACTGCTAAAAGCAACGCACATCTTCCTGTAGAAGTGCCCTGTGCTACACAGGGTGCCACTGGTGGATGATCTTCCAGCGTATCGCTGACATTGTTCTGAAATCTGCTTGGGGAAAATAGACTCATCCTTTCTCTCACCATGACCCTCATGACTATATTTCACAAGGCTTCTATAACAAACAGGCCAAAGGGACCAAAGACTGCACAAGACCAGAACAGGGCTGGTCTCTTCCACTCACGAAGCATATGCTCTTCTCTGTGCTATGTTTGTTCTGCAGGTGCTGAAAAAGAGTCATTCCCCAGGAGTCATACAGCCATTAGGACCTTTTCATCAGCAGGACACTCACTTGCAATTGATTTTAAAGTAGGACAAAAGTCTGCAAATTTCTAGACAGAGCAAAAGAAAGGCTAAAACAGTAACATTGTTCTGAATCTCTGTGTCTGTAGACACCCTAGACCTGAGATAACTTGGTGTTACGGTCTGTGGGAATCCATTTAAATGGATAGTAAATCTAAACTCAGTACATCATATTCAGCAAGTTATGTTCAGTTTCTCGAAGGAAAGCCCACTGGACACTAGGGACAAAGAACTGATTTCCATTCTATGCCTTTACAAATATAACTAGCAATCCTGTTTGCTGGGCTTTGCTCTCAGTACAGCACATGGTCACTTAGAGACTGAAGGATGGAACAGCCTCCTGATCTCCCTGCAGGTATCCTGCTGACCCCAGCTGACGTTATTCAATGCAGCTGAGTACCATGCTGCAGCAGTAATCTCACCCCTCTTCCCACAGCTTCTTCTTCTCTCTATATCAAATATCCACAAATCCTTAATCCTTAGACATCAGGATTCCCAGAGTCTGTTTTATCCCCTTCCGACAACATTTTTGTGCATAGGAAAGACATGTGAACAAGCACAGCGTCACCTGTCTTGCGCATCTGTCACAGACAAAGCAGGGAAGTCAGAGGACCCACAAAGTTTTTAGCCTGCCCCCTGAGTTGCTATGTTTACCTCTTCCCCCAGCCCACATAAAGTGAGTTTTATGCGGATTCATTACATACATGGTGGCAGCACAGAGATCCCAGCCAACAGCCACATGGTACTCCACATTTTGGGGAAAATGAAAGAGGCAGGTATATGTTCCCAAAGCAAACAAAATAACAGTAACCCATTAAGTTTTTCCTTTTTTACTCTCCAGTTTCCCCCATGCATGTCCAGAATAGAATCTGGGGGGGAAACTGCAGAATAAAAAAGGAAAGGCAAAACAAAATAATTTTGAATATACAAGGTTATTTATTAGAAAGCAGAGAACACCATAAGCCTGATTTCTCTGCTAGCTGCTTAAGAACAGCATGTTGATAGCCTTGTTTAGAGTCAGATAAATACTGCACCCAAGGAACCAGCAACAAAAAGGTCCTGTAGTCTATGAATACAATTCTCAACAGGTACTGACAAGTCCCTCCAGATTGTTGGTCAAAGACTTCTAGCATCCTTCAGACAGTCTACTTGAAGTGTTTCTGAATCACCATAATAGTAATAGATACGCCCTTTTCAAATCACAGGTTGGCAGCAAGATGGAGGCAGAGAAGAGAAAAATGGGTGTTTAGAGATGACTATAGCTGAATCAAAAAATAGCAAAAAAAACCCTAACCCAGAAGTAGGAGAAAAAATCAAAATAATAGTTAAAATAGAGCTTGGACTCTCAGAACCGAGAAACCTTGGAGCATCCATTGAAGAAAATACTGTTGATTTCAGCATCCAGAAGATGCAAAGATACTGTGACACTGTGCAGCCCCACAGGTAGATAGGTGCACTCAGGTTTGGCTGACCAGGACTGAGCTTGTGCCAAACAGTTGCAGAAATGGAGCAAACATTTCTATAACGGATGAGACAATCACAAGGAGGCTCGACAGAAATGGAAAATGAACTATAAAATGTGCCACCATCTCTAGCCTCTCAGAGACCTCATCATCCCTCCAGAGTGACAAACCTGCCAGTACAATAGCTTGCTTTTGATGTTTGCCAATATGAAGGCATCATTAATATCAACCAGTCTTGAGCAAAACAGAAATCCCACCCCCGCCCCGCCCCCGTTCATATAGCTGCTTTATTACCTGGCTCTAAAAATAGCTTGGTTTCTAAAAAGTTTCTAAAGATCCTTTTTCTACCAAAAGAATTTTGTGGTGTAAGGATAAGATGAAGTAATAGAAACAAGAACTGCAGAGTGCCAGTTAGGTCTCATCAAATCCCCTGCCTGGGCAAGACTCTCTCCAGTGAGCCACACGGGATTTGCTGTAAAACCCACACTCAGCAGGAGACAGTCAGATGATAAGAAAGGTGGTATATAAAATACATTTGGTGACTAGGAATCACACGTTCAAGTAAGTGAGCATAGCTCACACACTGACGTGCAGGGAAAAGAAATTGTAGCAAAAGAA